CATGCTAGTTGAATTGGTATCCCGTTGACCTAGGTGGAAGAAGCATGAACCCCTTAGGATTATTCTTAGTATGTGAAGGATCACGCATAGGTTTTGTTATACGTTTTCTCCCCCTTCCCAATGTGTTAATGTGGGTTGCATGTGCTTGCTATGTGTTATGTGTGCATGGTACCCCAATTCGGTTGCGATCGGATTGGTTATTCCTGAGCTGCGGTTCAGAAGCTGGCTGCGGTTCAGAAGCTGGCTGCGGTCAGATTTATACTCTTGGGCTGCGGTCCACCGTTTGGTTGCGATCAAACGTTTCCACATGAGCTGCGGTTCATACTTTCCTGGCTGCGGTCAGATGACATTCTCTTGGGCTGCGGTCCACTGTTTGGTTGCGATCAAAAGTTATGATGAGCTGCGGTTCATCGGTCGGTTGCGATCGACCCCTCCGTGTTGCGATACGGGACAGGGTGCTGCGGGGCCGTGTCAGAGCTATATGCGCTGACCCTCATGTATGGGCATGCGATTGGTCCTGTGGCGCCAACAAAGTGTGCTATGTGTTGAGATATGGATGAGTTGTGATTATGAGTATCTTGGGGGTTGTGACTATGGGATTTATGTTGGGGATTGTTTACGTTGGGTTATGATTATTAATGGTGCTCAGCTTTATCTGTCTTGCCTGTTGAGGATTGTATAAGCATGTTATAATTGTTGCTTGTGTCTAGCCTTATCTGTCGAGTCATCCCCGGATTTAAAAGCTAGAGTTCGTAGGATATATCTTCATGCTCAAAATGGTTTTCGTATATCTATATATATCTCTATATGTAATGTATTTCAACGCGTTGGAGTGGGTTACCAGCATCTCTCGCTGAACAGATATATTTGGCTTTCAGGCACAGAAGAATAAGTCACTGGAGCGCGCTAGAACCTGGAACGTAGAAGTAGATAGCTTCCCTCTCGGCCTGCGTGCCATGCTTATGCATTTACATTATTGAGGATATTAGTTAGTTAGCCTGTGCACCTGAGTTCTCTAGCTCAGGTGTGGCATAGCACCCCGTACTCTTGTATTATGTTTTGGGATTTAATGAGATTTCACCCTTATTTTATAAGTCTTAAATGTCTTGAAAATCTGGGGTGTTACAGTTGAACCCTAGCTTTGATCACCGTTCTATAGTTCTGGTGAACGTGCGGTATCGATGCGGGAGATTTGGGCGAGGTTTATGGATTTTATGGAAGTTTCCGGTGCCATATTTCAAGCGGTTTTAACATGTTTATATACTTTTTTTTTTTTTTAAATTTAAGTGATGGCCCGTCGGGCCAGCCTGCTAGACCCGCAAGCTCACATGGGGCGGGCTTGGGTTGTATAGTTCCAAGCCCGCGGGCTTCACGGGCCGGCCCGCCAAAGCCCGCCAAATAAAAAGCCCGCGGTGGGGCGGGCCTAATGAGGCAGGCCGGCCCATATTGACACCCCTAGTCTAGGATTCCTAATTAGAATCTGACTAGTAAAAGGTTTACTCTCTTTATTCCTAATAGGCTTAAGACTCTAGTTTAGGTAAGGGTCCACGATCCATGGTGGACCACATTAATTAATTAAAGGGAATCCTAACCAAATTAAATCCTTTTTAATTATTATTAATGGGATTAATTAAATAATTAATCTGGGATTGAAGGCCTTAACACGGGGTGTTACAGAAGTAATGGACTTCCAATCCCAAAATGTCCTCATGCATTATTTTTTTCGATTCTAAATGGTCTCTTACCTACTTCAAGAGATTATTGGACAATCGTTACTGTGATAAGTCAGTGGTACTTATCCATATAAAACGTCTTCAAGACGTTTTCAATGTAGGCTAACTGGTGTATAAAATCCCTTCAAGGATATGCTTGATCTTCAGGCTGAGACAATACTTGGTATTTTCAAGTCTTTCATTTGATCATTTCAAACTCCGTCTTTAGATACGAGCTAATATCACTAAGCTCTTTATGTATTTCAATGATGTTCATATCATCAACATAGACTGAGATAATAACTAAATAACTCAATTAACAACTCTTTAATAAGTACATAATGGTACATATTCATTTATACATTTTTTTACTTCAGGAGGAAATTACTCAATCAATTGTTTGTTATTTCAAGTTATGCAAGGCCTAGCCTTTGTACTTCAACAACAAACATGTTGTGATATTTATTTTCTTTTATTTCAAGAATTATAAATTCATTAAGAATTTTTCCAAATAAACATTAGTGTCTAATAACCCATAATTATATGGTCATGACTTTCATCATCTACATATCTAAATTTATTATTCTGCCAATTATGTAGCAGAACTTAATGACGTCCATTATGAGAGAGTATATTTGATTAAAATCAATTATGAGTCTCTGCGTGAACCCTTATGCTACAAACTCGCTTTATATCACACCACCTCATCATTCTTGTTTCTCTTTCGTACAAACACTCATTTGTAACCTATCTACAGGGTTAAAATTTCAATGGTGTACATGTTATAAATAAAATACATTTATCAACGAGCTAAGTTATATATGCCTTAATTGCTCCTTTTATACATTAATCTATCAAGACGCTTCTGGCGTATAGCTCTGGATCTAGATTGTCATATAATATGAGCAATTTTGAAGGAAATTCTGTTGTCGACAACTAAAATATTTTCATAAATTTCTCCCACATATATATAAATGTTCATTGTAATTTATAAGTCAACCACATTCTAGCCATTTTTCAAAGATATTCATATTTGGTTTTTCCGCATCTCAGTATTGTGATTATTTGATGCACCTATAAATTCATTGGGTTTTCTCGTCTTCTGGACGAACGTTTTGTCAAGGCGGACTAGAAAGGCTGACAAAATACGGGCCATAAAATTCAAAGCTCGCCCCGCCTCTTTAGCGGGGTAGGACGCGCTCGCCCGGCGACCCGTTTTGACGGCTCTACTCCTGGTATTTAACTCTGTCATTGCAACACTAATGTCGGAGATCAAACTCATCACTTCGCTCATATCTAAAAGATAAAAAAATCAATACTATTATAAATAAGAAATTAAATCGTTAATATGAATATAACTCATGCACCAAAAATGTCATTTTTGTTAAGTTTTGGCCTTTTCACTCGTTAGTCCCGCGTGATGCTTGCACAATTATACACCCGGAATTGCGTATATATATATATATATATATATATATATATATATATATATATATATATATATATATATATATATATATATATATGTATGTGTGTTTGTATATGTAAAGAGAAGAAAAAGGAGGAGGAGAAGAACACCAAGTTATAGTATAACCATCATGTAAGTGTGTCCCTTTCATTCATCTTCACTCACTTTATATAGTGGTCATATACAACCTTTCAAGTACACAACATCAATACATGATTAAATGATAAGCAAATGAAAGGTCTAAATAGTTTAATAGCCATAAATATAAATATTTACAACACTCCCCCTTGGCCATTAAATAATTATACTCATGCCTCGTTAAAAACCTCGCTAGAAAAATCCTGTGGGAAAAACCTAGTCGAGGAAAAGAGTACATGTAGTATCAATCATGTGTTGCATCGGTTGCCTCGTTAAAAACCTTAGCCTAAGAAAAACCCAGTGGGAAAAAAAAACTTAGCTAAGGGAAAAAGAGTACAACCATAAGCCTTCTGGGCATAATCTTCAGGATTTAAAAGTCTCCTAGACCGAGTTTATCGCTCCCCCTGAACACAACAGTCTTCCTAGACTCCGCATCCCAATTTTATAAACATACTTCTCAAAAGTGGATGTAGGCAGGGACTTAGTGAACAAATCTGCCAGATTTTCACTAGAGCGAACCTTTTCAATGAGTATTTCACCACTCTTCTGGAGTTCATGTGGGTAAAAGAACTTAGGAGCAATATGTTTAGTAAGACCTCCTTTAACGTACCCGTTACTCATCTGTGCAACACATGCCGCATTGTCCTCATATAGGACAGTCGGGGAATCAACATTGCTCATTGTTCCGCATGAGCGATGAATATGCTGTATCAGTGATCTCAACCATACGCATTCGCGTGCGGTTTCATATAAAGCAATTATCTCCGAGTGATTAGATGAGGTAGCAACTAAGGTCTGTTTAATGGACCTCCAAGATATAGCTGTACCTCCACAAAGAAAAACATAACCAGTTTGCGATTTAGCAGTATGAGGGTCAGACATATAACCAGCGTCTGAATACCCTTTCAAAGTAATGTCCTGGTTGTTTTCAAAATAAAGACCAAGGTCTTTTGTCCCTTGGAGATATCTAAAGATATGCTTTATTCCACTCCAATGTCTTCTGGTCGGAGATGCACTAAATCTAGCAAGTAAATTCACTGAAAAGGCAATATCAGGCCTTGTGCAATTAGCCAGGTAAAGCAAGGCTCCAATAGCACTTAGGTAAGGAACTTCAGGTCCTAGAACCTCCTCATTATCCTCCTTAGGTCTAAATGGGTCCTTTTCCGCTTCAAGGGATCGGACCACCATTGGGGTGCTAAGGGGATGAGATTTATCCATATAGAATTTCTCCAATAATTTATTAATGTAGTTGGCTTGGTGAGTGAAAATTCCATTTGGAAGATGCTCGATCTGCAGGCCGAGGCAGAACTTGGTTTTTCCCAAGTCTTTCATTTCAAATTCTGCTTTTAAGCATGAACATGCTTCTATAAGGTCTTCCTTTGTTCCAATAATGTTCATGTCATCGACATAGACAGATATAATGCAGAAGCCATTAGATGACTTCTTAATGAATATACAAGGGCAAATATCATTTTTAACATATCCCTTCTTCAGGAGGAATTCACTCAGATGGTTATACCACATTCTACCAGATTGCTTCAAGCCATATAATGACCTTTGAAGTTTGATGCTATACATGTTTCGATCTTTATCCCTCATATTGGAATTTTGAATACCCTCGGGTATTTTCATGTATATATCAGCATCTAGTGACCCATAAAGGTAAGCTGTCACTACATCCATCAACTGCATATCTAATTTCATACTTACTGCCAATGATATTAAATAGCGGAATGAGATGCCATCAATAACAGGAGAGTATGTTTGATCAAAATCAATTCCGGGTCTCTGCGTGAACCCCTGAGCTACCAATCTCGCTTTATATCTAACCACCTCATTGTTTTCATTCCTCTTCCGTACGAATACCCACCTGGATCCTATTGGGATCACATCTTTTGGGGTAAGTACGGTGGGACCAAAAACTTTTCTTTGATTAAGCGAGTTGAGCTCTGCCTCAATTGCCTGTTTCCACTTCAACCAGTCAGAGCGCTTCCGGCACTCGGTTATTGACTTTGGTTCTGGATCCAGATTATTTTGTGGAATATTACAGGCAACTGCATAGGCAAAAGTGTCGTCGACGACTATTAAATCTCTGTTATATGTTTCTCCTGTATCAACAAAATTTATGGCCGTTTCTATATTGACATCAACCAGATCATCGTCATTTCCCAAAATATTTTGATCTGGATGTTCCGCATTCCCAGTGTTCATATTATTTAGAGCACGTGCAGGTTCACTGGGTTCTCCGTCTTCGGGACGGTCGTCTTCAGGACGGTTAACATTTTTCTGGAGTGACTGAGATATTTTACCAATTCTCGTCTTCCGTGGATTTAAATCTTTTGCACCAAGTGGTCTCCCGCGCTTCTGGTGATGGGGAGTGTCAGTGTGCATACTTGGTCCCACGGGGACTTCAACTCTCGAAGGAGCATTCACAGCAGGGATATGGGACCTAGTCACTCCTCTGTTATCAGTAAAAGCATCTGGCAGGTTATTTGCTAAATTTTGCAAATTAATAATTTTCTGAACTTCTAGTTTAGTTTGACTAGTACGTGGGTCTAGATACTGAAGATCATTTTCATCCCATGAGATTTCTCGGCATTTCGTTAAATAAGGTCTTTTATCTCCCCCTAATGTCGAGAAATGATCTTCATAAAAAATGCAGTCAGCGTACCTCGCGGTAAACTGATCTCCTGTCATGGGCTCTAGGTATTTAATGATGGAAGGAGATTCATAACCAACATATATACCTAGTTTTCGTTGCGGGCCCATGGAGGTACGATTTGTAGGTGGTATGGGGGTATAAACTGCACACCCAAATACACGCAGATGGGAAATGTTAGGTTCTACGCCACGTAGTAGTTGCAAGGGGGAATAATCATGATATGCACTAGGTCGGATTTGAATTAAAGCTGCAGCATGTAATACTGCGTGTCCCCAACATGAGACTGGTAAACCAGACTTTTGCAGTAATGGTCTAGCGATTAATTTAATACGCTTAATCAGAGACTCAGCCAAGCCATTCTGAGTATGGACATAAGGTACAGGATGCTCCACTTTGATGCCCAAGGCCATACAATAATCATTGAAAGCCGTTGATGTGAATTCTCCAGCATTATCCATTCTTATTGACTTAATGGGATAATCTGGGAATTGGGCATTCAACTCAATAATTTTCGCAACAAATTTAGCGAAAGCTTTGTTCCTCGTGGACAGTAGACTAACATGAGTCCAACGAGTGGAAGCATCAATAAGGACCATAAAATATCTAAATGGTCCAGAAGGTGGACTAATAGGTCCACAAATGTCGCCCTGCAATCTCTGCAGAAATATAGGCGATTCATGTCCAACCTTAGTACGCGACGGGCGTACAATATATTTACCTTTCGCACAAGCCACACATGTAAACATATTTGGCGAAAGTACCTGAGATCTAGACAGGTTATGTCCAGCAGAATTAGATATGATCCGGCCCATCATATTCTGCCCAGGATGACCCAGACGGTCATGCCACATTTGAAAAGAATGTGGATTTTTTAGTTTCATGGTAAGTGCCACAAATGAATCATTGGGTTGTATATAGGTATAATATAACCCAGAGGATAAAGAGGCAAGTTCCTCAACCTCCCGCTTTTGACCAGTGATCAACTGAGTCATGGTCAAGAACTCCTCTTTGTTCTTAGTCTTGGTTTCAATATGGAAACTATTTGAACGAATATCCTTGAAACTTAGCAAGGTTCGTTTAGATTGAGGGTATAACAAAGCATTTTCAATTAGTAGCTTTGTACCCTTAGGGAGGATGATGGATGCTCTTCCGGAGCCCACTATTTGTACCTGATCATTAGAAATGGTAGTAATATTACTACTTGATTTGTTTAAGGTACGAAAAAACCTCATATCCGTTAGGATAGTATGCGTGGTTGCACGATCCACCAAACACAATGTTGGTTCATGCTCCATTGTGCGAACAACAACTTTGTAATGTTGTAAGATCTTCGGGGTTACTTCTCGAACAGTGGTTGTTCGTTACTAATTAACCAATGCCTTGGTACAAAAAATAACATGTGAAGGTTAAAAAAAGAGGTGAACCATTCATCATGATAAAATAGAAAACATAGAAATCAAGTCATAAAACGATATGAAAAAAAAACATAAGTTCATAATCTAAAAAAAAAACGATACGAAAAATAGGTTCATAAACCAAGAGCATAAGACAGATCATTCTTGATCACCAAAGTCTTCAAGCTCATATTTTAAAAGATCATCATCATCATTCATCACTGCATTTGCTTCAGGCAAATCAGTGTTGGTGTGATGAGATTCCTTTCTTGACGATTGCTTATCATTTTTCTTTTGCGTCATTTTGTAAGCTTCAACCAGATGCTTTGGTGTACGACATGTACGAGACCAGTGTCCCGTACATCCACACCGATAACAGGTTTGTGACCTTGATGAACCTTGATCACTTTGTTTCTTATCTTGGGCCCGGGAGTCATTGTTGCCTTTGCCTTTACCACTTCGATTGTTTCGACCGTGACCTCTACCACGACCCTTTCCTCGACCCCTTCTAGAATTGCTTCCCTGGGCAATATGATGTGCTTCAGGCGCGGGGGCAGACCCAGCAGGTCGTGCATTATGGTTTTTCATCAACAACTGGTTGTGCTTCTCGGCCACAAGAAGTGCAGATATCAAATCAGAATGCTTTTCATAATTCTTTGCCCTGTACTGCTGCTGGAGTACAAGGTTACTCGCATGAAAGGTAGACAGAGTCTTTTCAATTAAGTCTGTCTCTGAAACTTCTTGTTTGCAGAGCTTTAGTTGCGAGACTATCTTATGAAGGGCCGAGTTGTAGTCAATAACTGACTTATAGTCCTGAAACCTCAGGTGAAGCCAGTCAAATTGGGCTTGAGGGAGGACAATCGATGACTGCTGGTCAAAGCGGTCCTTCAGGGACTCCCATAATGCCAAAGGGTCCTTTTCAGTCAAGTATTCATTTTTCAGGTCGTGGTTCAAGTGGTGACGTAAGAAAATGAGAGTCTGCGCCTTCTGGGCGTTTGTACACTGTGACTCAGCAACAATGGTTTGGCTTAGTTCTTTAGACGCGAGATGAATCTCGATGTCTAAAGCCCAAGTCAAATAGTTGCTACCGTCAAGTGCGAGCTCATTAAATTATCTTTTGGCGATAGAAGACATGATCTACAAAACATATATCGTATGGTTTCATATACATTCATAAAATCATATGTTCTCATAGCAAAATAAGGAATTTAATAGGATCTCTAGATGCAAAACAAACTTCAAGAGATGAAATTGAAAGGTAAAAACTGAAAAAAAAATTGACCTTTCAGATTCATGCAAGAGGGAAACTTCCATATTGAAGCATAGCAACCTTATTAGTAACATGCTCATATTGCAGTAATAAATCACAAAATAGCCATGATTAACATAATTTAACAATAGCAGCTATGCAATTTAATTTGGATGCTCTTATGCGCATCATACATTATCAATACATTATATCGTGTACGCACATTACATTATCAAAATTCATGTGTACAATGCAAAAAATGAATTTTGAATATGAATGAATAGAGAAAGTAAATTCTTAGAGATAAAAATAATAATAATAATAATAATAATAATAATAATAATAATAATAATAATAATAATAATAATAATAATAAAAGACAATACGTATAGAAATCTATTATTGCTATGTATATGTAATCAATTCTTCCATCATACAATACTTAATCAAGAGGGACAAGACAAGACAATTTTTTTTTTAAATGTACGAACTGTGCACACACTGTAGAAGCAAAATCACATTTGTTTTTCACAGAAGCAAAATAAAATAGAAATATATATATTACAAAATTTCGATTATGACATACATCCAAAATTTTGATTATAACATACATCCAAATAATTCATTTATGACATGCATCCAAAAAGATTTAGAAAAAAATACAGTTTATCTAAAGAAACAATCCATTTTAATTGTAATTGCTATTCAAAAACAAAATTAATGAACCATATTCTATTTTCACAAAGAGAAGGAATTAAAACTCTCTAGATGCAAAATTTTCACAAAATATATAAATATCTATTTTTTTTTTGGGGGGAAATATATACAATCTAATAGTGGATTATATACACACATTATTTATCATATGAAAGTAAATTTCAAGAATACAAAGGATCAAATATAATCATTATGAGTCAAATATGCAGTACGTACATTTCTTCCGAAGAGACAAAGATTTTAGATTTCCTTATTCAAGAATTTGCAGGCATATATACAAACTATGCGTACATATACAATATCATACTTATCTAGACAATATAATATAATATATTAGGAAGATAACCAGGCATATTGTGTTCATATATTTCATTCAATTCGCAGGATATAGAATTGGAAAAACATATTCATGAATTTACACAAACATACATATATGAGCCAATATGTGCAATTCATATTTCAAATTTTAGAAGAATATGTATCATATAAAACAATATCTTCAAAAGGAATCAAAAAGGCATATAACCAATAATCATATCCACATATCCATAGAACACAAAATATGCAATTATAGGCATTTTTGGCAACTAGGGATGATAAAAAAAAATTAGCAACATTGTTCATGCCAGCATGTATATTTGAACAAATAAACATGGCAGAATATTTATATGCATTTTTGAATAAAATATTGTATGCAATATTTTCAGTTTATGTTATAAAGGATACGCATAGCATTTACAGACAATGCATATAATTCAATCATACAGAGTACATATTTTATTAACAATAAATATGCACTTTGTAAGAAAAGTAATGTATAAAGCATACCGTTCACCGAAGAGCGTGCTTGATAACGTGTTAAGTTTTGGCCTTTTCACTCGTTAGTCCCCGCGTGATGCTTGCACAATTATACACCCGAAATTGCGTGTATATATATATATATATATATATATATATATATATATATATATATATATATATATATATATATATATATGTATGTGTGTTTGTATATGTAAAGAGAAGAAAAAGGAGGAGGAGAAGAACACCAAGTTATAGTATAACCATCAGTGTGTCCCTTTCATTCATCTTCACTCACTTTATATAGTGGTCATATACAACCTTTCAAGTACACAACATCAATACATGATTAAATGATAAGCAAATAAAAGGTCTAAATAGTTTAATGGCCATAAATATAAATATTTACAACAATTTTCTCTTTCTCTCTATTACATTATAAATTAATAAATGATAAATGATTAATAAATGATTCTTTGCGCTCTCTTTCTATCTTTTGTTTTAGTTATTTAGTTTACGTTAAATAAGTTATCCAATGACTTGGTCTAATATATAAAAATGCTCACTTTAGGGATATATGGAATTAAACTGTACTATGAATCGAGTACAAAATTCTATAATTTCAGTATAGGATTCTGCAGAATTAAATTAATTTTAATAAAAATAGGAGTGCGGAAAAAGGAAAACAAAAATGGTGTCGCCCAATTTGCCACCATTAAACAACTGCCAACCAACGCAGTGCTCGTCTACGGAGACTTCATTGTTTTTTCTCTCTTGTACTTCTCGCTAGCCCTGTACTGTTTTCTGGAATTCTATCATCACTAATCTTTCCCTTTCTCGATAATTCTTTCCTTGTTGTCTCTCTTTCGTTATTCCTCTCCGTACGTGCATGAGATAAAGATGGCGGCATTGAACATTAAATCGGTACTGTTTCTTGTTTCGAGCTCCAATGATGGAAACCATGGCGTTCAGGATCTCATGTCTCGCCGAGGATTCATCAAAATGAGCCGGCAGCTAAGTTCTCGGGGTACGAGAAGTCGGAAATTCCGTGTTTTCTGCGAGTCAACGGTGATTTTCTTGAGTAACCTTTTCTTCATTGGATGCCAATTTGCGTATCAGGCTGTCTCTAGATTCATCTTTGATAAATTTTCGCAATGATGATGTGATTTGCAAGAATTGAGTAAATTTAGTTGATCATTAGTGTTGTAGGTTATGTGGTCCTGTGGAACATCTGTTTAGACAGTAGTAGGGATTTAGGTAAGGGTAGGTACAGAGAATCTGGGCGACGTGCGTGATTTAGTCTTCAAACGTTGAAATTTTGTGCTCAGCTTTACTTTATTGACATTTCTAACAAGACTGCTACTAATTTAGGTGGTCTTATAAATTATTTTTTCAAGATAGATTTTTGGTGGGGGTTGTGTTAGTCTAAAATGACTGTTATGACTGAAGTGCATTTTTGCAATTCCAATGTAGTTTCCATTTTTGCCTGATTCAATCAGGTTAATTACTCTATTGAAGTCATGATTTTGCTAGACAATTCTCCAATCACCTTCCCAGCTTCACACAGTTCTCTTGCTATAATATGAGAATATCTGCCAATTTTATATTGAGTTCATTGAGGATTTTTAATGCTGGTTACTTCTCTTTTGAGAACCATTTGCTAGGTGTTGTCTCACACTCTACACCTTACACAATCAAGCATAAAGCTTCTGGTCAATACCAGTTGCTAATGTATAAAAACATTCTGATAGTTAAGAAAATTTAATGCAAACCTTTATTAAGTTTTACATTCCCATCCTTCTTCCTCTTACCTAACATGTACTTTTGGAATGAAAACTTCTTGAGCGAATGTAATATGATTAGGAAATGTTCTGAGTAACGGATTTGCTCCGTTAGATTATTCTAATATTTTTCAGTCCCTAGTTTATTCATTATATTCTTTTTAACATGAAGGTAATTCAAATCAGGAAGTGCTCACCTGTTTTGGAGAGCATATTGTTGCCAGAGAATGGATTATTGCCATCTTCAGAATGGAAAACAGTTCCTGATATTTGGAAGACAGCATCAGAGAAGTTTGGCAATCGCATAGCATTAGTGGACCCATACCATAATCCTCCAACAAATCTAAGCTATA